GCATGATACAGGCATTCATATTGACCGTGAAATTCATAAAAATCATATCAAATATAGAAGCAAGTTTAACTTTTCTTGACAATTTCAATTAAATATATATCTCAAATGTAAAAAGATCATTTTGATCTTGCCATTGACTCATGACTTCATCTCATCACTAATTAAAACATTAATATTATCCGAAAGTGATGCTTATAGTTTTTTTCCATTAATTCCCTTAAATAATAATGTAAAAAATAAGACTAATCAAAATTAAGAGGGTTATTCTATGTAAGATTAAATTTGAACATGGAAGGGTCAATTTCATTTTTGAGGGGTCAATGCCCTCCAGGATTATCCTGTGTACTAAATGTTTTGCATGCAATTGTATCTTATCTCAATATTTATAATATAATATTTATGGTTATACACCAAAATTTATAACTCGAAATAAGGGTGGGGGAGAAGACGAATTGTATTTACCTTATCAAATAATTCCTAACTTAATTGTTATTTAGAGTGTCTAAAATAAGCAAATATTAACTTCTGTTTACAGAAATACATTTTATCACAGTCTTTAATCATGAAGAAATTTACATGTAATGACATGTTTTGGTAAACATTTATGATCCAAGTCTGACAGGGAATTGTAATATCTGATGTACAGCATCACCATGATCCTTCTAGTATATACTGAAGGCTGTATGTTCCCCTCTTACACTAAGTGTAGAAATATATATTTATTCAATAGTACTCTGTTCCTTTGATCTTCATTTTCAAACAATTGAGAATTATATAAAAGCTTGAGACAAAATTAATTCTTGTATGACAAAGGTCAAATACGTCGTAGTACAGGAAGTGTGAATAGTGCATTGATTATGATAAAGCTTTTAAACCTAAGAAATTTAAACCTCTTGGGGGGGGGGGGTACGTTTCGGGACTTTTTTTCCACCATGTATTGAACAGAGAGACAGTACAGTTCTCAAAGTGTAACACGTGTACACAATTACTCGAGACTTTATACAAACTAAATCAACGACATACTAATTTGATAAACGTGTGAAAAGGGTATTGTATAAATGGGAAATTTACAATGCGAATTTTGTGAACACTTCGGGGAGCTTACGAGTAGTCAGGCGGTAATTAGCCACACTGCATTTCTTTTGCGACTTTGTCATCCAGTCTTTGGAACAGCAGGCTTTAATAGTTGACCATTTCTTGCTCCGAAAACAACTTCGTAATCCGAAATCCAGTTAAATTCGCCCAATATACTCTGTACTCTTCCTTTTCTCCATTTTGTTTTTATGTTTACCGACAACAACGTGGTTTCCCGCATTGAAGAGTTCCTATAAATACCGTAAATACGCAATTCGGCGTGCGTATGTGCTTGACAACGAATAATCTTTCTAATAGCGTAGCCTTTGTCACTGTATCTGATAATTGAGGTTCGTAATTCTGGAGATAAACGTGAGATCTTCTGCAGTTCTATCATTTGCCTAAGTGAATTGATAAACTGCGTGCGCATCCTAACCCAAAAAGACAGAGTAAGTTAGACGATCGAACTAAACAGCCGGACGGAACAGCCGGACGGAGTAGCCGAACTAAACGACCCAATGAAATAATTGGACCATAGGGACGGTCGAAATAACCGAACGGAACGATTTAGCTGATACGAACGAAACAGACGAAACATACGAACGGTGCTCGAACGGTGAACGATCGCTTTCTAGACGCTAGACTACCGCTAACCGCACGCAAGCCGCATGCAAGCCGCACGCAGAACGAACTGAACCTAGGTGGATACTTGGGCGTAATTCTAACTGTATGAGGTAAGGATAAGGTTATTCAAACCCTCGGGATAAAATATTGAGCGGCAAAGCCTCGGGTCTCCTGCTCAAAACTTTATCCCTTGGGTTTGAATAACCTTATCCATACCTCACATCAGGGATGGATTCTATTAAGCTCACACCGGTAAAAGTGCGGATACACCTGTCCAGGGTAAGAGAAATTCATATCCCACATACCTACATAAGATATACACTATTAGTGCTTTTAATTATAAACTTATTAATTAATATCATTATTTTCGTTGTCCCTGTTAATAATGCTTTTTGACGGTATGTGCCAACATAAATATGGGACAAAGACCGTAAGAAACAATGAATACTGATTTCAGCTTCCCGTAAGTTATGAGAATATGTACAGCAACATAAAGAATGAAGAAGAAGGAAATACTCTGGTGAGTTATAGATGGGTTGATAAATCAGTGCATTGATGCTGTGTTACATAAACAGCTTTTATTATTCGCTAAGTTTTTACATATTCCATATTTTTAATCTCAACATTCAATGTTATCATATCTTTAAACAAACCTGTATTTAAGACAACATCTTTCATGTAAACTTTACAAATAAAACAATATCAGTTTCGTATGTATATTTTCAAAACTATCGATGTATTTGATTATTTAATCTTGAAAACATAAGTTCCATTACAATGAAATTCTCTCAAAAATGCATCTGCATTCTTTACATCAACTGTAAGTAAAGACATGTCCTAAATGTTTTGGTTTAGCTGTGAATGTGTAGAATAATATGTGAAGGTATGGTGACGGCTATGGACGACTTGGTAGGGAATGTGACTGCCGCCCTGAAGGAAAATGGCATGTATGACGACACACTCTTCGTCTTCACCGCCGACGTAAGTGATTATGTTTATTGGAAAAAGATACTTTTCGTGATCACAGCCGACATAAGTCACCCTAGGGTGTTCATTGAAGCATACAATTGTGTTTTCCTCGACGACAAATGTTGGGGTCTTAATTGTTGCACGCCACTTTTGTTTTCACTGCCAACGTAAGTCAGGATATTAACTGTAGCACACCAGTTTTACCAACACAGCCGACGAAAGTCAGGTTATTAATTTTAGCAAGCAAGTATTATTTTCACCAACGACGTAAGTCATGGTGTAAAGGCTAGAAAGACATGGGTTGTAAAATTGTAACTTTTTAAGGGTTTTCAAGGCATCTCCCTCCTTTGCTTATTTGACATGTATTTCGGATTACTGTGGACATATATTTTCAACACTTTGACCTTAAGAACCACTGATGAGTTATATGAGGATGAACTGGCAATACATGTAATAAGAATGTATGCTTTTATCGCTTTCTGCATGGCATTATTATATGTTTGAATAGGCGCTTCCTCAATTTTTATTTCTAATGATTATTTTTAGTCACAAAGAAAACATATGGTGACATATCTGCTGGTGGACCGTCAGTCTTCAAAGTTGACTTTAACCTTGTATCTGGATATCAGTATTGTACGGTTTAAATTAAATACGTCAATTTAAGAAAAAAAAATGTCTGCTTCAGGTAAAAATTGGAAAATAATGTTTCAAAGATTTTGTATATTTCTAATTAGACAAACTTAGGCAAAGGTAACGGCAATAGTATCTAGTTCGATCAACCCAAAACTCAAAATCCAAACTAATTTCATCGTTACTTCCCCGATTGATTTTTCATCTGTTGTGTAGATAGAATGGGGGTGGCCACTCTTCCACGGCAACAACTACCCACTTCGAGGCGGGAAAATTACTAAATACGAGGGCGGTACCCGGGCGACAGCTTTTATCAGCGGAAAAGGACGGGGAAAAACGGATATACATATAACGGGTCAGATCAAACTTATATTGCAAACAGACATGTTCGAAGATACTGTAACGAAATATAATACTATTGTTATATGGGCTATATCCTGATATTCAATCCACTGTCAAATCGGACATGATGCAAATGATATTATACATCATCTATATAACATCATGCCTGATTGGATTTAAACTGATCATATAATAGAAAAAGAAAATTGCGTTATTTTCTCTCGTACTCAAATTTCATCAATCATATTTCCCTTGAAAAATGCGTCCGGGGAACTACATCTGAGCACTGAGTTACTCAAGGAGACGATAGCACTTTATAGCTCGTAAGCCTAATCATCGCTACAGTTAATATTGTTCGGTAAAGTGATAATGTATTGCCCTTTATAATCATAATTAGAACATAGCGATACAAGAAATATCAGTCTCAATCGGGAACCGCCGACACCTCCTGAAGCGAGAACACCTTTTCTAAACTAAACTAAAGGAGCCAACTCTTACTCGTTTGTCAACAGACGTTCCAAGAAAAAAACCGGGGAAATTTGAGCATACGAGAAAATTACAATGTTACATTGTCACTGTGTGTTAACGACACCGGATATTGCTACTTTCCAGGCGGTTATCACACGAAGTAGGCTTCTGTTGCAAGTGAGTGGTTTTGATATTTTCCTCACTTCAGAGGCTTGTATGTACTTGGGCCATTTTTGGATCAATTCCTCACAGCTTCAGCAATGGCTCAGAATATTCCTATATGGGCCAATCAATACCTATTATAGACTTGCAATCACGCCGCCTGGTATCGGCGAAAACTCCTCACCAGTGATACTTATCACGTGTCTGAATTAATATTTGTAGTGGGTTTTTTTCGAACAACTTGCACTACCTATAACTAATTAACATGTATATGTATCACATACATTTATCGTATTTTCGAACTCTTTGTAAATTATGAGAAATATGCTGATATAATTCCATAGCATTGAACGGCGACTTGCAATTTCCATGATGTCGCACAGTATTCTAAAAACAAACATTCAAGTTGCCTGTACGGCATTTTTTTAAATGAAATATCGTCAAAACTAATTCGTCGAAATGTGCGTTCAGGTAAGAAGGTGTTCACAAGTCTTCACTTAATGGCAACACTAAACTTAGCCGCCAGACTCAAGCGTTCGTCGGCATACCCCTTAATTGAACATATCAACGGATTGTCGTCACAATATGAAATGAACATATTGTAACGCGTAGACGTTTGACATACGTACTTGAGAGTCACAATTTGAATGTATATTAACTATAAAATTAACAGTTCAAGTGTACTGAGCGTAACGTTGTCTTGTTTATGTTCCCAAAGAAAAGGACATTGATGGAATTGACCAATGGGATAGCCTGAGGACCGGTGCCCTGTCCAAACGAGTTAATATACAACTTGGATGATATGAATCCCGCTTTACAAGGACAAGCGGCTATCGGGTACATGTAGAAAGTTTCAAAATACTAATACATAGGTTTCGTAAATTGTGCGTTATTTTCGACATCATCTTATATGACGTCACACTTGACAACAAGACTGCACACTAGTTTGAATGTGCTAATGTAAATGTTAAAAAGTCAGGTAAACAATTAAGTATTCTTAGCAAAGAGGTACCTAAACAAAGGCTTATTTTACTGTCACTTAATCTGCGTCGAACAGAAAATCTGCAGTGAATAGAACGTACCGTTCTTATTGGTTAATACTGCTTTTGGTTATCTTCTGGCGAATAAGTAAGTTTTTATCAAACTAATTACTTCTGATATTTCACTAACTAATATGTAATAATTTATTCTACAAAAACGTATCTGTTCATACATGTACATGTTTTCCAATACATCTTATCATTAGCTAAATATTTATTTGAACAGAGTGGGGGATTACAAACCGATAGAAGGATGCCCCGGACTGTATCCTGGATGGTACAAACCGGAAACGGAAACAATAAACCTCCAAACGAAAAAGAATGACATAAATACCACCGACGACGAGCGATATAAGGAAACGTTAAACGGTTAGGAAGGGAGCTATACAATTTAAAGGGTATGTAGACTTCGTTTTGTTGGGTTAATGTTCTCGCTATTAGGACGTGGCATTACTTGAATACAGACTATATTTACAAGGAGGATTTTGCCGATGAAGCAGAAGACGCTTACCCTTCCACGCCACCTGGTCGTATCTCTACATTTGCGGAACTCCAGATCTTATCCTTAATAATATAACCAGGTGTTCCGGAAGGGTAAACGTCCTGCTTGATTGACAATACCCGCTTCAAGACATTTTATGTCAAATCGTATTGTGAAATATATATTTGTTCATCACATACCTGTAAGATGTGATATCTTCTAAAATAAAAATATTCTTGTTCTGTGTTTAGATGACCCGTATGAACATCACGACTTGTCCCTGTCACACAGCAATATTGCGGAGGAGCTGAGTAAGAAAATAGCTGAATATCACAAACAGATGATTCCCGCTAATTTCGCAAAAAACTCTGCAGCTTTCAACCCTGAACATTTCAAAGGATATTGGTCCCCTGGCTGTTGCTAATGAACAAACATGTTACTGAGGCATGATATATCTGATACTGTTACACATCTGAATCTAAAGCATGTTTAAGGGTCAATATCTAAATCAAGAACAAATCGTATACCTGAACATAAGCCAACTTCCAGCAGTCGGGACAGACTAAACGACAAAACATGTTCCATCACCTCAGGCATTGGCATACATCGTGGCAAAACATTGTGAAGCATCTTTCAACAGACATACACCGTGACAAAACGGAACGAAGAATCTGAAACAACGAAACACACCATGACCTAAGAATTTTCGAATTGTACTATATTGTGTAATATATTAGCTTGTTCGTTTTTATTATACCGTATGAATTAAAAATTGAAATTATGGCTTTATTTTTGTAAAACTGTTAGTCACTTTCTGGTAAATGTCCTGATATTTTTGTAACTGTTGAAATAAGTTAACAATAGGAACTGATCAGGAGTTAAGAAACAAGAGAGAACAAAACATCGTAGACCAGGATAATAACAGATACTAAGGACAAATCAAGACACCGGGAAAGAAACCGCAGTTCCGAGCTTCAACATTAACTAAAGGCGCCATCCAAATGAACGAAAGACACCGTAACCCGAACCAACAACAAGAACTGAAGAGACAGCAACATTTGTATCTAATTTTTATAGTTTGTGATTGATTGATAATAGCTAATTTTCTACTGTAGATCACGGGCGTTGTACGGGCAAAGGATAGTGTAGCGCAATGGACTTGGTTGATAGCCGACGACCAGGTTGTTCAATATTTAGGAACGTCTACCTAGAGCTCGGGGGTCCCTCATTCGAATACCGATCTGGCCATACATATTTCCACTCTTGTTATAACAGTATAACCATGCATAATGACACCACTGAGGTCGATAACCATTACATACTTCGTTCAAACTTAATTGTAAATGACACAACAATAGTTTTTGAGTAATGGCTTAGGAAACTAAAATTCATCCAAAAATCACATTGGTAAGCTGCACTGCGCGAAAATGCAATATCACAATTATTGTGACGACATGCTGCATTTAGGCAATATATATAGAGAATAATACATGCCTTTTTCCATATCACACCCAGTACCAACCCGAGACTGCAATATCAGCCCAAGGGCCGAAGGCGCGAGGGCTGATATTTGTCGAGGGGTGATACTGGGTATGATATGGGAAAAAGCGTGTTTTATTCTATCTATTACATACTTACTAATAAAATCTACTATCTTATGATTTATCTTTATTTTTGAAGTATTGAAAAACGATTTTTTTCCCAAAAGAGGTGTGATATGGGTTTTGCGGGCTGATACGGGGTTTGGGGTGTGATACGGCGAGGGGTGATATGGGTTAGAGCAATGGTGACGTATCGCATATGCAAAAAAAACGTATTTATTAGTAAGTATGTAATAAAAGTTAATACGATTGTCTGCGTTGCTATGCGGGTTGGAAGTTGGAAGTAGTAGAATTTGGGATATAATAGTTACGTATTTTAAGGAAAATATCCCCTTACTCCTAGTAATTCAATAACATATTTGCCTAAATACCACTAGTTAATTTCAAAACGTATGAAAGAATCGGAAAATAAACTCGCTGAAATTTAAACACCAGTAATGAGATAAAAGTGTCACGTGCAATTTTAATTTGTTGTTTATTTTAGTTATTCTAAATTGAATATTTTGAAGAAATAACCTATGAATATGCTACAGTAGTCGACATATGCAAAGTACTGCAAGGCAATCCATAGTACCCGGTAATGATTCCTATATTTAACACATATTACACTTATGTCAGGAAACATAGGTCACAGTGAGGTCATAGTGACTTACTTCTTGCACTCCACCATCACAAGATGTCCTTGTACACAAAATCTGAATACTCCAGGTGAAATGTTTTAGTAGATATGCCCCTGACAAACATTTTCAAAAGTAAAAGTCAAAGGTCAAGTCATAGGTCACAGTGATGTACGTCTGCACTTCCCCAACTCAAAATATCCTTGTACACCAAATCTGGTTACTCTTGGTGAAATAGTATAGACGTTATGCCCCGGACAAAATTTTTCAAAAGTTAAGGTCAAAGGTCAAGCCATAGGTCACAGTGACCTAATTCTTGCACTCTGCACTCCGCCATCCAAAGATGTCCTTATACAACATATCTAGTTACTCTAGGTGAAATAGTACAAAAGATGTGCCCCGGACAGAAGACAATTCGTTGAATACCACATATATATTTCACACGTCTGGCAGAATAAACCGTTTTTTCTTCAATCATGTTACGCTTTTGAGAAAAATATTGCCATACTTCCAAGCTCGTGAAATTGTGAAGTGTTTTCAACAGGAAACCATTCAATAACCTTTGTGTATTTTAAAAGCGTTTGCTACATGTCAAGGTATTATAATTACTATAATCGCATTATCATCCGACATCATAAACTGTTTTACGTGAATCATATGATGTTTGTACTTTTATGGATAACGTACATATAATATATACAACAATATATGAACTACAACCTTACTATAGGTCTAAAAAAACACCGATAATTCGCTCAGGCTAAGATACACATGACACGTTGTTATTGTTTGCTTCTTATACAAAGTAGCCCAGGATAAACGGGATAGTGACGGATATCTAGGTTTTATCAAATCTTCCTGTCCATATGTTATTTTACCTCATAAATTATTATGTCTCCTGTAGCCCTCAGATCCCGACTTTTGCCGTGGTCATGTAGATGTAGTTTATTATGGCAAGGTTTATTTGAAACCCTATATGTATCCCATAATAGCAGAGGCAAAACAATGTAGTGAACATATACCACAATCAATGGTTTCAATGCATTTGCAGATTTTTGTATGTGCAGCTTACGTTTTCAGACTCTTTAAGACAATAAAGAGTCTGTTTATTTTTCATTTGTTTATTTGAATTATCCTTTTATTTTAAAAAAAGCAATCAACACTTTTTCTGCCCAGGCACTTATAAGAATATGAAATATAAATATTCACGATTAATGGTTAATTCTTGCTTTATGATACGTCAAATACGTTTTTGGTTCAAAATGTACGTTATTCAAACCTGTATCAATTCATCATGATATAAACTAGTGAAAACTACCTATATATGAACACTGTAGTATCATCTCACCTTTCAAATTCACACTTTGATACATCCGTGACCAGACTGAAACACTTTAACAAAGCAAACACCATTTGTGAATGATAGTTCTTTATTCACCTGAAGTCTTATAATTGTAGAAGATTGTAAACCATATGTTTAAAATCATAATACACATTGGGGATGACCTACGTTGCATATAAATGATAAAGTTACAATGAAAAATGTACTGATTTGAGAACGCTCAAAACCAAGATAAAACAATTTGTTTTTGAGTATATGTTTGTTTCTGTTATTGTTATTGTCGGTTGATTTCGATTTTAAAGACAAATTGTTTCCCTGATATATTCATAAAAATAACTTATCTAACAATACTATGGCAGATAAGGTAATACATATAAACATGATAATAGTGAGATTGCAGACAACAAATGTTTGCCCCGTAACAATCACATGTCATGGAAATTTGGTTACTAAGTACTGACGCTATACAAAAGATGTTGGTTCTCTTTATCTTTTAACAACTGTCACGAAAACGCGTGAGCGTAGTTTCTAAAAACAATTCTCTTCCTGTATCAGTCGTACTATCTGTATTCTAAGAAACGTTCTAGGTATATTAATAGAATTCAAAGAAACCGAAAATATTAAATTTAATCAATAACAAAGTCCCAAGAAATGGGAGATCAATACAAACAATTAAGCTACAGAAGATATTATAAAGACACAACGCGCATGTCTGTTTACCGATGGATAACAGTCTATATAATTTAGACACCAGCGATATTCATATACAGATATTTAACGTGTTATCTCCATGAAGTGGCCTTGTTTGCTACGACCATGGTTTTTTTCTTCATTTCAACAAATTGTATTCATGATGGCAAAGGAATGGGATCGAACAACATGCTATGCCTAAATCAGCTCTCTCATGCACGCATTTGTTTGAAACAGTATATATATATTATAAATTTTAGTGAAATGAAAGATTGAAAAAAAGATACAAATTATATTTAAAACATAAATCAATGTGCGAGTCAAGGGCATAGGAGAGATAACTCAAACTGATTAGATATTACAGGTCAAACTGTGCTGTATCTTGACCTTACCAGGATAATGAGTGAATATTAGCCATCTTCCTTCACTAGATCCTTCCTAAGAATTCAAAATCCACACAGAATGACTCGTAGATAGTTAAATATTAAGCTGATGTACATTGAATACTATGAATAAGCTTTGTCAATATTGTATGGTATATTCACATTATAATACGTTAAAAATATAATTATACAACTACTTGCTATTAATTACTAAGTGCACAATACAAGCCCATGCTGATTTATGGGGTGAGCATATCATATTCAGACTGTGTCTATTTGTAAATGTTTTATGGTATTGATAACAGCCAGTAGTAGATCACTTAGCGTGTTTGATGTCAGAAGTTCTTTTAACTTGAATATGCTGGTTACAATATTTATATAATATAATATAAGTTGACAATAGTTCATTCTATTTATGTAAACGGTTTTGAGTTCACGATAAAGGTTGAGTTTCATTGTCACATTGGTTACAACCATTTAGTTTAGTACGTAGAACTATGTCCATGTCATTTATCGATCGGGTGTATTACAGGTAAGCGGTCTGTTAATGTAGGGTTTTCGCCTATATAGAATAGTCGGTTTCTGGGTCATTCGACGCAGTTTCCTTTTTGTTACGGAATGATGACTGATGATTTTGTTAGTAAGGTTGGATAAAAATGCGTAAGTGAAAACGAATCCGTAATTCCAAGTAAAAATCAATGAATCTAGGGCAACATATAAACAATGGAAAGATTAACACGGAGACCACTTAAATGGTACAGTAAAAAGGCCAGCTGTTCTGAAAAGTTAAACATCTTGTGCTTTATCGATGAAAGCTGCCCTGTAGATCTATGTCTAATTCTAGTAATGTTAAGTACTGAAAGCAAGAACCACGGCTTATAGCTTAGATTGCTATTTTGTTAAAAAAGCAAAGGTTAATATCTTCCATGAGCTCCGTAAGGCATTCAGCTCTTTGGAGTTATATAACAGAAATTGTAACCACTTTAGCTGGCTTCGTCAATACACGTCCATCACAGATCCGTCGTTGTTGCCAACCCATATATGACCATTGTTCTGTATGGATACAGATGTAGGGGATACGTTGCCATGGAGAATTACCCACAAAGGAAGACAGAACGGAGACAAAAGTTGGACCGTTTTGGACCATTCCTCGGCTATCAGTATATCCCCAGTGGAGGTAAACTTCACATCATTGACACAGAACTGCTCGTCTGCCTTGCTGAAGGCTACATCACCGTACAGTACTTTTCCGTGTCCAGTGTATCTTAAAGTTAGCTCTAACTGTTCATTAAGGAGCACCAAATGTGCAGATAAATCGGCCGTTTTGTTGGTAACAGCTACGGTGGAACCGGATTTGTTCGTAGACCATCGCCGAGGTACGACGAAGATGGTGTGCCCCTTGGCCGTGATTTGAGCCCTGTTTAATTCATTGCCGTTCAAATCGTACCGTATCACCACTCGTTGACTGTGTGATTCTACAGTCATCGTTTCCTTGTCACACAATGTCAGGAGGATATCACCGTTGGGCATGTTAGCTATTTGTAGAGGACATAGAGGTCCTGTATCAAATAGGTGAGTTTCCCTTCCACTCGGAATATGTATCTTTCGAACAGTATTATCGAGGAAACAAAGCAGGATATCCTCGCCTTGCAATGTAAATCCGTCAATCGCTTGGTCCACTTTGAATAGCTTGGTCACCTTGCCAGTTTTATCAGTGAGCTTTATCACATGTTCATCAAAGCATCGAAGCCAGCAATGATTGGTGGTATAATTTCGGATTTCGTGGACGCCATGTGATTCGGAATGTTTGAAAGAATTTCTGACAGCAAATTGATTTTCTTTCGGACCTTGTACGCGAATGGCCACTTGTATAGGATAGTGGGATCCACGTATAGTACTTCCCGGGACGACTCCGCCTGTACAGACATTCCCCATATTTATATCAAAGGCACTGGTATGAAGATGTTACTCTCTTGTGAGTCGATCAAAATATGTTTTATTCACCAAAATCATAAGAAAACCCGACTGGTTTCTTGTTTCCTCTTGTCCCGGGGTTCTGTATAAAAGAAAAAGTTATATATTAAATAAGTTTTTACCCAACAGACCTTTGTAAAGATTTCAAAACAAATGCTTGATTCGAATTTATATCGTTACAGACTGTAGCTCATGATTATTTACAACAGATCGTAATTCCGGGCTCCGTTGATCAGGACAGTTCGCTTTGTTAACGTTTAAAGTCTGCACATGTCGTCTATATTTGAAGTGACAACCCATGTAATCACGAGAGTTGGGGGACTCTTTTGCCTCGTTTACATTATAAATAAACAGATATTGTATAACAAAAAAATGTATAATTTATAACTATAACATATCACCAGGTCAAATTGTTTACTGTATACCTATAACATATCACAATGCCAAATAATATACTGTACAAGTACAAGTATGTATGTATGTATGTGTGTAGTTATGCATGCATGCATGCGTGTATGTATGTATGTAAGTATGTATGTATGTATGTATGTACGTATGTATGTATGTATGTATGTAAGTATGTATGTATGTATGTATGTATGTATGTATGTATGTATGTGTACATGTGGGTATGTATGTATACATGCATGTATGTATGTATATATGTATTCATGTATGTTATGTATTATGTTATATATGTATGTTTATTATTTATGTTAATTATGTATGTTAATTAATTATGTATGTATGTATGTATGTTATATATGTATGATAAGTATGAGTGCATGCATGCATTTTTGTGTTTATGTACACATGTATCTGTACTGCTATGTATTACGATAAAATGTATATGTTTTTGTCTATGAAAAAAAAATGAAAAAAATAAACAGATAATCATGTCGTCACTCTGTATTTATAATAACCTAAATGTTGCGAGGACGTTTAACCCGTCGAAAATATGATACGGTTACTACAATACCTACAAGGAATGCGCCAATGTAAGTGATTGTGACGTTATATTTAATATGCAGCCCAAGTTCATACCTGCATGAAGATCGAGACAGATACATTAACCAATGTTAACGCCCTTAACGCGATATTATCTACAACGGGTCAAAATCAGTGGTGCTACAGCTGTAAGGAGTGTATAGGACATTATGCCTTCCCACTCCATCCATTTCACAGACTAAGCGTAACTTTTCTGCACTTAACGAGTTAAGTGCGTATAAATCCTTGTTAAAGCTTTGGTTAGGTTCGTTTTTGTTTTACGTCCTATTATAACATAAGCTATGGTAATTTGAGGACCTATGACTAGTACCTGGCGACTGCCCCACGAAGGCCTCGAACCCGCGACCCAGTCGTGGAGAGCTAGTGATCAAGACGGTTAGATGCCTTAACCACTCAACCATTGCGGCCCCGCCCAATTAATGCAGCGAAATATCTATACATCCAACTATACTGAATCACGGAATTCTAATAAAAGTGATATTTATAATAAATAATAAAAAACACATCGCTCTATTCATTGCATAAACATTGCAGAGCTCTTCTTAAATTAAAATTGTCAAAAGATTAAAAATAAAACGTGTTTTTTAACAAATGGAAAAAACGAAAAGCATTGTCAGTTAGAACTGAAATCGTAAAACGCTGCTGTGTCGTTACACAACGTCGTTACTGCATAAGTGACAATATGAACAATTTTTGTGTTTGTTCCGTGTTTTGTCACTAAAAATAATATTTGTAGAATTATTTGCTGGTCATTTGTTGTGAATTCTAGTTTTTATGATACTCATACCAAGGTACATAGTTTACATATGATAAGACTAGCCTGGCTCCGTGTATCTGTAAAATAACGCTTCAAACATTGATAGTCACCCATACATCTCACATCTACCTTTTGATTTGCTTTAAGACATTGCACCTTATAACTTTATCACATTAAATAGTCCTGTGTCGAGTAAAGTTTTGATGAGCACATGTTCCGATTAGAAAAATGACTAAATCAATAAAAAACGTCTAATGTAAGGCAATTTATTTCAATTCGTTTTTTAGCTTTTTTGGCAGGTGCTGATACAGAAATTGTATAAAGCGAATCCCAGTATATTTATCAAACATGTTTATGTACATGTTCTATAACATGTATATGTGTTATATATATGATATAAGTATATATTATAGGTAATGCGGGTATCTGTTTATGTTTTAACAAACAGTTTTGGTGAATTACAAAATGGAGGTGGCTGTTCGAGCCATCATTAACATCCTCCTACTCATGATGCTTCGAAGATACACTAAGGATGCCTACATCATACAATACACATAATGTATTCATGTTACTAATGTACATATTTACATAGCTATCTGGTAAGGTTTATAAACAAGTATCGGACTGTCGTAATATACACGCACCACCGTCATTGTTGCAGTACTTTACGTTTCGTACATCCAGCTATGCAGATTTAGCAATGTCATTGCAATTGTTTCAGAGCAACACAACATATTTCGTTTAAAACATCTCATTGTTAGTGTATTCAAACGAAACATCTTATTGTTAGTGTATTCAAACGGAACATCTCATTGTTAGTGTATTCAAACGAAACATCTCATTGTTAGTGTATTCAAACGGAACATCTCATTAGAAATATATTTTATGGATTTGTGTCTGTCAAAGAGTTATATTTATATAACCGAATAATAAATGGAATTAAACAATCCTTTATGTAAACAAAATACTCGTCTACTCGTTAATTATTTATCTATTTTATAAGATTGCATATGAAAGTATAAAAGAGCAAAACGAAAACTGAATTGAAAGATGTAATTGGATAAGAAACAAAACGCACGTAAATACACATTCTGGTATCTTATTATTGTGAAATGTTTTCATTGCGTTACAACGTACGAAGGGCTTTATACAGTGAAAATGGAGGTGACGCGCAATATTTAAAAAATAGATAAAATGTTATATTGTGTGTGTCATAAAGTTTTAAATAAACGTAAAGTAACATGAATGCGGAGTAATGCTAGCGAAGAAGTGTATAACATACTTTATAAGAAAGTGGCAAATACAACTAGCAGCAAAATAATAACACTAATAACACTCCGGCCTTCCACGCAGGCGGCTGGGGTTCGATCCCCGAAGTCGTCGAACGCATGGATATTCAGAAAAAAACGTGTTCTACCACCGTGGGGCGATGTACAACCTGAAGCGGTACGCCGTTTTTAGACTGATTTTTTTAGACGGGATAAACGAATAATGAACTAATAATCAATATCTGTTTATCTAACACAGCGAATAGTGTAATAACAAAAATATCCAATCACTCTAAATAATAAACAAAGCAAGCTAATCTTACAAAAACTAATAAACATTTATCAAATTCAAAACACATAAAACATCTCACTTCCGGTTGATGTAAGAAAGCTGCAACGTATGTGTTCTGACCACGTGCGGGTAGTTCCGTTTACGAACGAGTCTCCCACGCCACAGCAATCTTATGTCTAATAGAGTAAAATACTATATATACGTGTATAAATGACTAAATACACTTAAAAGTAAACACAACAACCACTAAAATATCCTCACACAAACCAACCAACCAATCAACCTATCCCCCCCTCCCACAAACCATCCCCAACACCACTCCGGTCCAGACTACCAGCATTTATTTNCCCGTTTTTCCTCTTTACCCATACTAATGATCACACTATTCACTAAAAATCATAAATGTCGGAACGATGAACAGAAATAAGTGAAAGACAAGTCGAGGTTTATAAGAAAGATGACATTGGTACAAGTATAGTCATGTTTATTCTCAGTGACGAATGATGAGGAGAGGAGTACATGGAACGGACAACAAAAAAACAGCACATGCATGACACTAACCACTAATATACAGTCCGTCGGATGGGACTATAAATGGTGACCCGTGTGAGAACTGTCCAATCACGCACGGAAAAAATCCCTCTGGGTTTTTCGAAAAAGAGTAGGCGCTTAAACGCCGACACAGAGGATAGTGAAAATTGTATCCAAAATTTTAGGCCGTTATAATTAGGGTCTCTTTATTAAGACATTTAGATGGACTTCCAAATTTTATACACAAACCAAATTCATAGAATAGGCAGGCGCTGGTGTGGCTGGAGGTGGCACAGTACCTCACTTCCGGTCCTGACTTGGTGATGCTGTACGATGAGTGTTAGGTTAAGGCATTATTAGGCATAGGAGCCGTCTTACAAAAACTAGACTTATACAGTTAATATATATAGGATAGACGGCCCCTTCTCCAAACTTTCCCCCTCCTCTACTCTTTTACTCCATACTTTATCCATTCTACTCATTTCCTTTCTGTTCTTCGTCTGCTGGATAACCGAAATACGCGGTAGTGAAGCGGACGTAAAACCTATCAATCAATCAATCAATCAAAGCACGGTCCCACACACACGCAGGCATACACACATAGGAAGATATTAGCCAGGTGGCATAGGACTAGTAGTTAGCGCCTGATAAGGCAGTGCCTGCAAATTCCTCAAAAATTGTATTGATTAATGTTTATGCTAATTGTATAAATTGTATATCTATGTACTATAAAACGCTTTAGAGTGGTTTATGTTAGCTAGATAGGGCGCCGTATCAAATGTTGTATATTATTATAAAATCAGTATTGACAAAACATGATAAAACATTAAAAAAAAATCGATATGACAACAACAAAAAAACAAAGTTTTGTGAAAAAGTTGTATCATAGTTCGTGTATATTAATTTTTGTTTTACAATCTATATAGATCTATCTATATAATCATATAATTATTTACCACAAAATGACAATAAACAAATCCGTTTTCAATCATTACGTTTTGGGCATGATCGATATATCATGGCTTATATTGGTACTTACGTTGCTTCACTTCAAACCGCTCATGTTATTGTCCCTTACTGCCACAATGAAATTGTCGTTTGATACCTGTCCATTAAATAATCAGTGGTCATGTGCATGAAAATCAATTCCAAGAAGAAAGTCTAATAACGTGCAGTTTATTATAGCTATGAAGCAAGAGTTTAAACAACCTTCCAAGAATCATAAATTACAAAGCTGAATTTATAGCTGGCCAATTGTTAGAAACCAGGAAGACAGAGACAGTTAAAGTGTATTGACCGGTCTGAGTAACAAACAGATAAATACCAGCGAGGTTAGTTTACTTGTCGATAAGAACAGTCATAAAAACACAAAATGACGTAATCACATGTTATGAAATAAATTCGTATTTTCAGAATAAAGTCAGTGTGTTATGCTATTAAACATTTTACAAACTGTATCAACATTGATAATTGAATGCACGATCATGTATTATTTAACGTCAATGGAAAATACTTGTATCTTACTTAATGATTTAAAAGCATTCGCCATACGCGATCTATTTAGCTATTCAGGAGATTTCATCTTTGTGGGTAACGCAATATTAGTTAAATACCGATGAGAGTGATAGACAGATAAAAAGATGTAATTGTATAATTGTAATTCTTTAAAATGTCGTTTAAATCATAAAATGTTTATAGTGTCCTTGATATAACATTGTATTTAATTAGAATTTTTCCTACTAGTGTTGGTTATCATGTTTATCTGACTCGAGTGAGTTTACTCAGGTTGTAAAAGAATGAATTTAACGAGAGATAGATGAATATGATTAACAACCACCACGGGACTTTTTCTCGTATAACGTTAAGATACAGATTGTATTACATCTAGAAAATCTTTGTTTCCTTGTGAATACATTTTCCTGTTTCCGATCGGGGAAACGATTGCCCTGCACTATGACGTCACAATGACAGATCACGTTGTCAAGCGTTGTTACGTGAAGTCATTATTAGAAGATTGACCAATGAAATCACGTCCAGGGTGTTACCCACTTGTGGGTAACCAAAAGTGGCTACCAACTCCTGGCATCTTTATCCCATGATAAAGGCAGGAAATCTATAGCGGTTGTGGGAGAAATTGATATATATATATATATAATGGGTGAAAGTTAACTCGTCAGAGCCCTATGAAGTACGACAGATTGTATATATATGACAAACACCGACAGGAGGAGAAAACAGGCTAGAGAATGCATGCTGACTCACTAATTCAGTTTTAGGTCATGCATTTATTTTGAAAAATATACGTTGTGAGTTGTCAATATTATTGTATACCGGGACACTTTACCCCAGTAAAACATTCGCCCTTCATATGTAAAAATTGTATTCACCTGGAATTAATTTCACATTTTCCACGTAATTAATTATATATATAATATAGATCCCCTGATGAACCTCTAAATAGATAAAAGCGCTAGGGAGGTACTACGAAACTCTCTATATTTGTTTTTTATATAATATATTGCATACTTATATTTACAGTTATGATAAATTCGACCTCATTACAGAGGGTGAAAATGACCAAGTATACAGCATATGTTCAAAGTCAAATTTTAAAACATGCACTTCATGAATTCTTGACCTTCCTATAAGATAAGGTTTTGCATGCACAATGCTTGGGGTCAAATGCTGATATAGCTCCCGGCAAGAGATACTAATGTCACTACGGTGCCTCTTGTAAATGCTGGGAAACCTTACCGTCTCAAATAGGTTCTGTCAGCAAGCCACATGTCACACCTCCGCGTTGGCCCTGGAAATGCTTAGTAGCAATATTAAGTAGCCGAATGACAGTGGTGAAAGACGAGCCTCCAGCGCCTTCAAAAAACTGGAAAACCGTGGCTAAGGGAAGGACAACCTTAACAGAAACACCCTAGCCCTCCAGGTTTGGGGTTGAGCACAGGGCTAACAACCCAGTCTTATAAAAATAATAACGTTACGGAAACAGCAACGAAGAAATCTAACACAACGCTGTGTAAAGATCTTCCAGGGGCAACGACTCGTATGACTGACAGTAGTGAAAGCCGAATGGGGGCTACTGGCACGACAATGGAAGTTCTGAACGTAAAATCAAGAACCAACCGTGGTTTTTGGAATGTCCGTATTATGTACGAAGCAGGTAAGCTTACACAGGTAACATCGGAGATGAGACGCTACAACCTACATATCATGGGTGTGGGTGAATGCAGATGGGCAGGATCAGGTAGACAGACGACAGTAACGGGTGAGACACTTCTATACTCAGGTAGAGATGACGGTCAACACACAGAAGGAGTGGCATTGATCCTGAAAAAGGGAGTAGAGCAATCATTGCTAGAATGGGAGCCTGTCAACAGTGGTCTGATAGGAGCTAGACTGAAAGGGAGGCACATTAACATCACTATAATCCAGTGCTATGCCCCGACGAAGACAGCGAAGACGAGACCAAAGACAACTTCTACCTAAGTCTTCAGGCAGAAATGGAAAAGACAGCTAAGCACGATCTTATAGTCGTGATGGGTGATCTAAATGCGACCGTGGGGAATGAGGGTACAGAGGATGACAGGGCTAGGGGGAAACATGGATGTGGTAGCATGAACAACGGAGAGAGACTGGTGGCCTTCAGCAACATGAATGACCTGGTCATTGGAGGGACCTTGTCTCCGCATCGACTGATCCACAAGCTCACATGGTGCTCCCCAAATGGACGAGACAAGAATCAAATAGACCATTTAATGTTTAGCGGGACGTGGCGACGTTCACTAATGGACGTCAAGGTGAGGAGAGGAGCTGATGTTGGTAGCGACCATCTCCTGGTGGCAGCCTCTATCAAGCTCAAGCTTAGAGGCACTGGTCCAAAGCCCAAAGGTCACAGAAGTTTCGACGTAGATAGACTAAAGGATGCAGGTTTAAGAACAGAATTTACCCTTCAGTTGAGGAATAGGTTTCTAGCTCTAGAGAACCATGACGAGCCGATGGAGGGAGAACAGGATGAGCTCCTTAACAACAGATGGGACATGATAACATTAGTGTATAGACAGAGCAGCGAGAAATGCATAAGCTACAGAAAGAAGAAAATAAAAGACAGGATGACACATGAAACCTGGAAAGCAATTGAGTCAAGGCGCGGTATTAAGAAGAAGGTGATGGGTGCAAAGTCTGAGAGACTGAAAGAAAGATATCTGGAAGAGTACAGAGAAGCACCCAGAATTGTGAAGAGCCTTGTAAGAGCAGACAAAGGGAAGAGTCTTGATGACATGGCGTCAAAAGCAGAAGAAGCAGGAGCCCGCAACGAATAAGGTACTGTATATAGGATTACGAAACTTATCTCTGGGAAGTGCCGCACAAACAACAGCGCACTCATAAAGAACAAAAAAGGAAGACTACTGACAACTGAGAATGAGCAGGAGAAGAGATGGACAGAACACTTTAAAGAAGTTCTCAACAGGCAGGCACCGGCGGTGGAAGCAGACATACAGGAGGCTATAGACGACTTAGATGTCAGCACCGACATACCATCTAGAGAATAAGTCATTAAAGCTATCAAGTTAATGAAGAATGGAAAGGCCCCAGGCCACGACAACTTGAATGCTGAACTGTTCAAGGCTGCCCCAGAGCTTGCAGCTTCCATTTTAAAACCCTTATTTAAGATTGTATGGCGGGACGAAATGATACCATCAGGATGGAACAGAGGGTTAATTGTAAGAATACCAAAGAAAGGATCGCTATATGACTGCAACAACTGGCGTGGAATAACCTTACTTTCTAAACCCAGCAAGATATTGTGTAAAATTATTGTAAGGCGGATAACAGATGGAATAGACACGTTGCTGAGGAAGGAACAGGCTGGATTTAGAAAGGGAAGAGGATGTACTGACCAAATTTTTGCACTTAGAAACATCATAGAGCAGTGTTTAGAATGGCAAAGACAACTCTGGAGAATCATGCGTACGTATGGGGTACCACTTAAGATGGTTAATGTCATCAGATGTAGTGATGGAAACATCGACCTCAGCTTCGAAGTCAAGACTGGAGTGCGGCAAGGGTGTGCCATGTCCTCGATCCTGTTTAACATGGTCATAGAATAGAGGACAACGGAAGATGTACCTAGAGGAATACGTTGGACACTGTTCTCAGCGCTAGAGGGTCTGGATTTCGCAGATGACATTGCTCTGATGTCTCATTCATACCACCACATCCAGGAGAAGACAACTCGACTCAACATCTTCAGTCAACAAGTTGGACTCAAGATCAACCAAAGAAGACTGAAGTAATGACACTCAATGTGCAAGCACCATCACCAGTACATGAAGGGGATACTGACCTCACAAGCACTGATACATTCACCTACATAGGAAGCACAATCAGCAAGGATGGAGGAGCTAGCAAGGACATCGCTAACAGATTGAACAAGGCCAGATTTGTTCTCATAAGCATGAGGGAAGTGTGGAAATCAGCACAGTATAGCACCAGAACCAAGCTGCATATATACCATAGCTGTGTGCTATCAACATTTTTATATGGTTCAGAATGTTGGGGGATGACAGGGGAAGACTTATCGAAATTGTCAACATTTCACACAACCAGACTTAGAAATGTTTTNTCATTTCCGGTATAGATTATAAGGAAAATAGACATCTGAAAACAGTCTATCTGTTATTGAACGTTAACTGTTATGTAAACATCAATATGTTTTGATTATGAAGATACAAAACCGTTGTGATTCCTGACAGCATCTTCCTCTTCTTTTTCGGTTTATTCGATTCAGACATTGTACTTGGCCCAGATATTCCAAGACTTGAGTTGACCTCTGATACGATTTGGTTTTATTGCATTTGTTGCAAAGCTAACCACAACCACTGGTTAAATATACTATTCATCAGACTGACACTATTAGGTACGAAAAACAGTTGTCATCCTACACGCCTTAGTAGTCTACAAAACACAGAATATGTATTTGTGAAACAAATAGTAATCACCATTTTGATATACTAAATGACAACAAAACTCAAGTCTGTATTTCTTGAATCTAAATGATAGACATGTGTAACAAATCATCTCATAACTTTATCTTTATCTGCAAGCACTGCTGGCAAAAAGAATTCGGCTTGTTTGGTGACCGCGAAATCCCAAACATTTTCCATTTTTTCAAAAGACAAAACACTAGGTAATTACGCTTCTGAATAACAATTTCCCCAGATACTAACGTGTCATATACCGTGTCACCTTTCAAATGTCTCCGGGGCGTAGTAAGAGATGTCATCATTTCGCCTATTTAAGAAGGGAGTGGCAGAAATTCCTAGCTCCGTGGTAGGTTTATAGAAATTATAATGTTGGCTATTTCCCAATGATGCACCCTTTTCAAGTTATATCGTATAACCTAAAAATAAGGTATAAAAGTTACTGACGTCATACACTGCAATGTTTGGTGCGGTATTAGTAATTCTAACCTCTGCTTGGTTGAAGTTGTTATGTAATTACAACGCAAAGTTTTGTTCTGTGCATTATGTTTTTATCAGAAATGAATTAACGGGTCTTTTCTGTATATACTGCATAACCCTAAACAGAAGATTTCCTGGCCAAGAGTAATCTCCAATGATGAACTGCTGAGACAGTGCAACACGGAGAGTATGAGAGACATCATCAAGAATAGACGCTGGAGGTGGATTGGACATGTGCTAAGAAAGGAAGGTGACTCCATCACAAAGGTTGCAGTACACTGGACTCCTGAAGGTAAACGGAAGAGGGGTCGCCCAAAAACCACATGGCGACGCACGGTGGAAACAGAGCTCAGTGGCATGGATCACAGCTGGGGAACTATCGAGCGTTTAGCAAAAGATCGACAGGTGTGGAGGAACTTTGTTGCTGCCCTAAACGCCACCGGGCGTAATAGGCAGTAAGTAAGTAAGTAATGCACAATGCCTGCACAATACTTACCATATCGCACACATATCTTAGTCATAATCCAATTTAGCAATGTTGGTGTATACAAAGTGCACAATTGAAAACTATATAAGGTAACTGCAATCGGAGTAATCCAAATTATGGCAAGATTATAAACACGAAATCGGTAAAATGAGATTATTGCTGAAATATGAACGGTTACAGTAGATAGAATGGGAAAGGTAAACTAAATGGTTAAATTATCTATTACGTCGACACATCATGGAGAAAAAACTTTTAGACTTCGTGTCCTTTTTCGGATTAAGGTTCATGTAAACACTAATAATTGACCTTCAGGTCCCTTTATTTCATGTGTAAATATTACATTTATTACAAACTGTGCTGAATTGTCGTTTTCAATGTTAGAAGTTATTAATTCAAACTCCCTATAGCCATGATTGAACGTTTGCCACGCACTCAATAAATAGTCTTATTTGAAATATAAATGAGTGACTCGTGAATATTTTACCTCAATTTTGGGGGAATATTAGAACTGATAACCTATTCATGTTTGAGAATTGAAACTTTGGCACAAATAAGATATATTATATACAGTGAGGTACTCCTATGAAGTAAATTATATTTAAATATCTTTACATGGATTTTGATTAAATCGAAAGTCATCGTGTTGTCCAATGGAGGCCGCCATATTTTCTTTGTAGCTGTCAAAAAATGGTGATTATTTCCGTCACAATCACAAGCGATCGGTGCGTCCATAAAACACCAAACGTAAACATTTCCTAAAGATACAAACAGAAACACACACACCGCCATACAAAAGCTGGAAATGCACACACCTTTACAAACATACGTCATTTCCGGTATCAAATATTAGAAGAAAAAAACATCTTGAAACAGTCTATCTGTTATTGAACGTTAACTGTTATGTAAATATCAATACATGTATGTTTTAATTATGAAGATACAAACACCGTTGTGATTCTTGACAGCATCTTCCTCCCTTTTTTCGGTGTATTCGATTCAGATATTGTACTTGGCCCAAATATTCCAAGACTGGATTTGACCTCTGAAACTATTTGGTTTTATTGCATTTGTTGCAAAGTCAATCACAACAACAGGAAGCGATATTGTGGCACTGAGGTGATTAAATATTCTATTAATCAGACTCACACTAGAGGGTACGAAACTCAGTTGTAATCTACCGCGCCTCAATAATCGACAAAACACAGAATATGTATTTGTGAAACAAACAGTTATCGCCATCTTAATATACTTGATAAAAACAAAACAAAAGTCTGTATTTCTTGAACCTGATTTGCAATCCACACTCAACAATCTACATGATAGACATGTGTAACAAATCATCTCATAGCTTTATCGGTATATGCAAGCACTGCTTACAAAAATAATTAGGCTTGTTTGTTGACCAAGGAAACCCAATCTAAACATTTTCCATTAACGCTTTTGTATAACAATTTCCCCAGATACCCATCAACATGTCACATACCGTGTGATCTTTCCAAATGTCTCAGAGGGGCGTAGTAAGAGATGTCATCATCTCGCCTACTAAAGAAGGGTGTGGCAGAATGTCCTAGCCCCTTGGTCAGTTTATAGACACAAATCACTCCACCTTTCCAAGCATACCTGCATACAAAGGTTGATAATTGCCGGTGACGTTATGTGGAGATATGATATGGACAACGCCCCTGACGGAGGGGCGGGCGGACAGACGGACAGCTTGGGGGGCGAATAAAGGCTTACACAGCTGGCCTCCTTTTAGCTGCCATTGTCTGGATTTTAAACAAAAGATATCAGTGTTCGTGATGCACGTTTGTTTCCATTATAGATACCTTAATAGCTGTAAAAAGAAAAGCCTCATCGTTTGACTTCTACATTTATATCAGATAATGTAATACTTACATAAGATGTAAATGACAGGTGGTTTTACTACCCGAATGTCCTTTATAAAAAAACTTACAGTCGCTGTTTGAATTGGTGTCATATATGTCAGACCGTCACTGCTAGTGTGTTTGAAAATATGTACGACTACAGTTCCGGCAATTTTGCCCTCATTAACATTTTGATTTTTTTCAAAGCAATACACAAAAGAAAATGAACAGAAATTGCGTGATTGGTTTAGCTTCTGCCATTTATAACCAGAGGCATTGTAAAAAATTGTTCTTAACAAATATGCACATTTTTAGAAATAATTTAACTTTGGCAAATGATAAAAAATAGAGTGCAACGAGGTGATTTTACCGGGGTCCAGTTATCTGCGTGTTTAGAAAGTTTATAGAATCATATTCAATTTACAAAATTAACGCCAGATGGAATTTAAAATCATCTACGTGATAAACATTTCCTAACGGTACAAACAGAAACACACACATTGAAA